GCCCCACAATTCCCGAAACCCCAAAAGGGGGGAAAGCCCCCCCCCCCGGGGGGGGCCTTTTTTTTGGGGCCCAAGGCCCCAAAGGGGGCCCCACCCTGGGAAATGGGGGGGGGGGAAACCGGGGGCCCCCACCGGGGGAAGGGGGTTTTCAATTTGGGCCCCCTTTTTTGGGGGGGGGGGGGTTTACCCTATTAAGCTAAAAATTTCCCGGGTTTAGTTTCCCCTTTTTTCGGGAATGGGGGTCCCCCCCAAGGGGGGGAATTAATTTTTTTTCCCCCCCAAAAAGGGAAGGGGTTTTCCCGCCCTTTTCCCCCCCTTCCGGGGGTTTCCAAAAAAGGAATTGGCCCCCGGGGCCCTTAAAAAACCCCCCCCCCCCCCCCCCCCCCCCCCCCCCCCGTCGACGCAACCACTACCGTGAATCCGTAACACACTGTCCCGCTTGATTACCCCTTCTACTTCTACTTCGGTGATCGGGCTTTGTATCCAAGATTGCAATTTTCTCATGCAGATGAATAGGGCGGGGTTTGTCGGTGGGGGAGTGTTTGATTGTTTTTGTGTTTTTTGTTTCTGGGAGGGGGGGGGGGGATGGGAGTGTGAAGGTATTGGTTTTGTTGGATTTGTTGTTGTGAGTACGGGTTTAGAAATTGGGGTGTGAATGTTGTTACTGCTGTTGCTGTTGTTGCTTTTTCTCTCTCTCTCTTTTGGACTTTTGGTCTTTGTTAGAAATTGTGCTTTTGAATAGTTCAATTTGTGATGTTGAGAGGAATGGGTGTGTGTGCTCTTGGGTTTGTGTGGCATGAAGCCTAGGATGGTTCATTCTATGGTGTGGTGGGGTTGTAATGGTTGACTTGGAGCTTAGCCAATTTATTTATTTATTTATTTATTTTACTTGTTTTCTTTTATAGATAAATTAGATTTGGACTTGGTAATGAAGAAAAGTGGGAGGAAGATGGAATTTTTTTTTAAAAAAGAAAAGAAAATTTCTTAAATTATATAAATTCTAATAATAAACTTTGTTGTTTTGAGGTCTAATTGATGCACAATGATATATATATATATATATATATATATAATTTTGTATAAAAATTAGTTTTATTTGTAATAACTATTTTCAATTTTTTTAGAAATATAAGCATTAGCTATATGGTTTAAAGAATGATAGATTTTATTTATTATCATCCTTGAAGTGGCTTTTATAAGATTCCAACTAACTTTATACTTCATTATTTTATTATTATTATTACTATTTATTTTTAATATATTTTCCATCAAAAGATGATTAAACTATTATGCTTAAATAAATAGAAAACATAGTCATATTTTTAAAAAATTACAGATTTTGTTGTCATATTTACTTATTAAAATTATAAAAGTTGTTATGTATAAAAGAATTATATATATTTATGGAAAATAGTATAGATTAGATGATTTAAAATCATGTAATATTCTTTAAAATATTAATGTAAATATTATTTTGGTATCTTAAAAATACTAAATCATAACTAAAAGATATAAATTATTTTAGAATTAAAAAATAATAATCATAATATATATATATATATATATATATATATATACTAAAAAAGATATTATTTATAATTATAAAATACCTTGTTAAAAGCCTACTTTTTTTTAGATAAGGATCTATTTTTTCATATCATGCTCAATGTGCTGGTGTTAATCCACATAGTGCCTTTTATAATATACAAACCATTTATTCCTTTCTTGATATTTCAAAACCTTAAGATTGAGTAATATAAACTTCTTTTAATTCATAATAAAGAAATATAGCTATGATATCTATATGACATAGTTTCTAATTTATTTGAGCTACAATTGAGATCATGGTTCCAATTGTTGTTCATTTTACTATAAGTGCAAATGTTTCTTTATAATCAATCCCTTCCTTTTGTTCAAAGCTCTGGGCTATTAATTTGGCTTTGTGTTTTGTAATGATTCATTTGTATTTAGTTTTGCTTTATAAATCCATTTAATAGAGATAAGATATACCTAGTAGAAGATTTGTAAGATACCACGTTTCATTCATATATATTGAATTCGTTTCTTCTATCATTGCTTGCATCTAACTTTGATGTATTGATGCTTTGTAATATGATATTGGTTCTTAATTTAGTATCTACATAAATCTAGTAAAATGATTGCATAACAACTTAAGTGGCAAGTTAATTGGTCAATCCTTGTCATAGTTGGTGCTATCCATGCTAGGATTAGCAAAATTTTGTTAAAATTGGGCACTTCAAATTCTTTGGAGGATGACATATCATTGCTTATTTTAGAAATTAGCCATTCATCAATCTCTTGGCTCAAGATATAGTTAATTTTTTTAGAATTTTTTATTTCAATGTGTAGATTTGAAGGTTGAGGTATAGTTAATTTTCTACAATAAACTGTTCATCTTGAGATGTTGAGGTCTTTTTCTTTGCTAGATCTTGTAAACTATGGAATTTGTTTTTATTGTCATTAGTAGTGCAGGATCAACGCAACACAGAGGTTGATGACGTGACAATGCATTGGTTGTCCTCTATATGTTCAACAATGATATAATCACAAGATGAATTTTTTGATAAGTCTAATACAATATCAATTTTTGATATTGCGTTATTGTGGTTTTTAGATTTGAGGTGCTTTAGTGAAGGGTATCTTAGCTCATTGCTCGACTTGGTTCTTTCAAAATTCAAAAAATTTGATTCTTCAAAAATAACATCTTTAAATAATATAAATTTTTTGTAAATGATGCAAATACATCTTATATATCTTTATTTATTTTTCATAGTCCACAAAACTACCAAATATTGATTGTGGTTGTGGTTTATTTCTAAATTGACAACTTATATGTATGTGAGATAAGTAGCCAAAAACCTTCAAATGATTGAGATGAAGTTTGTTACTTGAAAAAATCTCCTCTAATAATTTTTTTTGATTGCTACTTTAAGCCATAAATAAGTGGGTATTTTTCCATATAATAGCTTGTATTGAATCTTTTCTACAATAGTGCAATTTCTTCTTTCTACTACTTCATTTTGTTGGGATGTGTATAGCTGCATATATTATTGTGTAATATGATATTTCAAATAATAATCCAAGAATTCTTGTGAGGTAAATTCTTCTTTGTTATCCATCTTTATCTGCTTGGTTTGTTTTTCTATTTACTTTTTAATAATGGTTTTGAATTCTATTAATTTATTAAGAGTCTAATTTTTACTTTTAAAAAAGTAAATCTATATTTTCTTAAAATAATCATCAACAATGAGTTGAAAATATTTTGTACTTAATAATGATGCAATTGGCAGTGGGCCATATAAATTTGCATATATTAATTCTAAGATTTTTTTTGATTTAATGGCTTTATATTTGAATATTGTTTTTCTTCAAGATAATAGTCAGATACAATTGATATTATTGTAAATGCTAGTACTTATTTTAAATTAATTATCATTAATGTTGATTGTTCCATGTAGTCGAGGCAATAATACCATAGGTAAGTGAGTTGATCTGAAGTCTATAATGCATACAAGATATGATGCTTGAACTGCTTTGGATTTGGTGTTGGATTTTCTATGCTCATTGGATTCATAATGTTTGCCATTGTTGCTAATTCTAGATTCTTGTTGATATTAAGCTTATATAATTGAAATCTCTTGTCTTATTGTTATTGATTCTAGATTCTTGTTGATATTAAGCTTATATAATTGGAATCTCTTATCTTATTGTTGCTGATTCTAGATTCTTATTGATATTAAGCTTATATAATTGGAATCTCTTATCTTAGTAGTCTAATATCATTACTTTTGGTATATTTGATTGAAGAAGTACTAGACATTGTTCTTTTTTAAATATGAGCAACTAGTTTGTGTTTTGCATATATTTTCTTATTGACAATAGATTCTATTTTAAATCCATTATGTAAAGATATTTCATAGACAATTTATTCTTTATTTTGAATAATATTATCTACATTTATTTGTCCTCTTATATTGTGTAATTTGTCATCCATAGTAGTCACTATATTATATTGAAAGAATATTTTTAAATTTGAGATGACATTTTGATTTTCAAAACATGCCTTGATGTGCCATTATTAATAATCTAATATTTGTTATGCAATGATACTATAGAAAGTACTTGTAAGGCCTTTTGGATTTCTACAGGCATTGGAAAGTTACTACTTGATATTTTCTTTGTATTGTTTATTCCAAATTGATACTAATTTGGTTCTTATGCTCTACAAAACCAAGCTATATGCTCCAATTTGCCACACCAATGGCACAACTGTAATTCTTGTTGCTCTACAAAATGCTTGTATTATGATTAATTCTATGATACTATCTTACAAAATGTATTGTTAGATATGCTCAAAGTTTTATCTCCAAATATTGTTTGATACTTTTCACCAATATTATTTTTAAATTTTAATATAAATATTTCTTCATTCTATTCTTTGCCTAAGTCTATTACTATTTCTTCTATATATAATCGGCTTGCCAAATTTGCTAATGTCGATGTATCATTCTCGGATCATAATACTCTTATAAAAGCTTTGTAAGTAGATTTTTTAATACTTTGTGAACTACCACTACATCCAATAAAAGTTCATTAATCTGTCTTAAATTGTTCAAGAAGATGTATACTTATTGCATAAAAATAAATATTGTCATTTTATTTATCATTCTAAGGTTTTTTCATTTATCAAGAATTTTCATAACATCCACAATGGTCTACATTGACTAAATATTAGAAAGAATTTTTGATACAATTACAAGATTAGTTGTAATTATGATGTATGGCTTTACTATGTCAATGTTGCAGATATATATATATAAATAAGAATTATTAGATAGA